ATATATATATATATATATATATATAAACGATTTAGACACGGTATTGAGGAGCAATATTTTCAAATTTTGCGGACGATTAAAAAAATTGGGCCGGAAATAATTCAGAAAAAAAATCAAAATTCCTTCAGGCGATCTAGACAGGTTCTTAACATTTTCGAAAGATTGGCAAATGCAATTTAATACTAAAGAATGTATCTGAAGCTACGTAATGATATAAAGTTACTAATAATCTGCTGGTTAGTGATGAAATTCTGAAATCTGAATGCGAAAAAGACCTAGGAGGCATGATTAGTAGAGGTCTACAGCTAAATAAATCGACGAATAAATGTTGGGAATGAGGCAAATAGCATTCCAAGACTTATTTCCAAAGTTGAACTAAATATCCACTTTCTGGACCATTCTTGTAGGTCTTCTGTGTTCTACTGAAGCTTCAAGCAGTTTTTTTGACATTCATCTTATAAGTTTAGCATAATCTGCGACCATTGTTATTAAGGAGTCGACGTATCCACCTCGGTCATTCAACTATATTAAGACGACTCAGGTCCGAGTACCGAGCCTTGGGGAATTCCTGCTTACATCCTGGAGGTGTGCGTGTGTGGTCGCCGCAGCCTAGTTACTTCAGGAGAGCTACGCTTCTCTCTATTTACTATTTGTATTTACTGTTTGTGTCTGCAGAATCGAGCTATTAGCTCTTGGATCCAGCCTCTTTAACCAAACTATTTAGATAGCCCGTAACAGCTGACTAACTCCCAGGTACCTATTTAATGCTAGGTAACAGGGAAGTCAGGGTGAAAGAAACTCTGCCCATCTGTTTCTGCCGGCGGCCGGAATAGAACCCGGACCCTAGGATTATGAATCCCAAGAAATTTGGCTTTGGTATAAGTCAACTCTCTACCAGTACAGGTCAGAACAAGTTTAATATGTCTACACACCCGGGAGTCAACAAATTGGGAAAATTCAATTATCTTTATTAGCAAACAAAGACTAAAAACAAAGTGTCTTCGTACTAAAAGAGGACCTTGTAGGCTCAGAGCTCCTAAACTCTACGATTGAGGTGGTAGAGGTATTTGGATTCAAAGAAGAGAAAGTAAACCAAATTATTATTCCAATATACAATCTGCTATAGATGCAACAATTGAGGAATTCACAGAGCAGATAAACAAAATAGAAAATTGCCTTTATTATCTAGCAAACCCATTGCCAGATATTATTTTCCTTGAAGACTTCACTCTATCCAGTTTAAGCTGGAGAATAACAAACAATAACATTATAACAGGAAATCAACCTGAAAATAAACACTCACGGGTCACACAACTAATCAGATCCCGTGATAAATTTTCTCTCAACCAACAGATAACAGAGCCAACAAGAAACTAAAATACTCTCGACTTTACTTAAAAAAAAATAAATCAGGGATATTACACTCTCAGATACTACATATCATAAACTGACATTAGTTGGAACCTATTATGAGTACACGTAATACGTCCAAAAGGACATATTTTTGGACAAGCGAGAAGAGCTGTCCAATAAATGGATTTTCTAGACCACGAGGATAGACTGGGGAGAAAGTCAACATGGAACAAGCAAACGTCCTGTGGGGAAACAATATTAAGTAACAAAATTCCCATGCAAGGAACAATTGACTGTCGGAGCATTACAAAGTCTGCTTGATTTATAATGTTCCTTTGCAAATCAAAAGAAGAACCAACTTAGAAAAAAAAGATTCCAGGCGACACTAACGAAGGAAAAAAAATAACAGAATTTTTAAGCGGACTTGGCTATTACAATAAAGAAAATGACAATTAAACTGGGAGACTGAAGAAACAGATGAGAAGTGATTATGTCAGACTGAAGAAAGGATCGGAACAGAAAGACATACAAGAGATAAGAAAATATACAAAATACATTCATACACATGCAGAATCAAAATAAAAAAAAACCTCCATGAGTATTGACCTGTACTTACAAGTGAAGGTTCAGTCACAAGCTCGCTCCCCCGAGCATTCCCAACGTATCTGAACTGATGTACTAATTTGCCCGAACCTAACCTACCCGAGGACCCATGAATAGAAAACGGGACATCACGTCACTTTCGTGAGTGGCTGGGATTTTTTAGTGCAACAATGTTTGGCCTTAGGGGAAATTATAGGTCAACACGCGACGTGGTGTTGAGGAGGCGAGTTGTTCATCTGACGCCTGGGACACTACATCCAACCCTTTCTCGCACTTGCTTATAGTCAATATTGGCTTATTTAATAAGTGCATATGTGACATACTAATTGATTGTGAATATTTTAGTTTACCTTGAAAAGCTTCATAGAAAACACCGACCTCACCTAACCTTCTGTTTATTCAGGTAAAAGTACATACATACAAGATGAGTTACAAACATAATGTTGGATTTATAGATAGAGCTAGTACATACAATGCCTAAATCCACTAATACGCACAGCGTTTCGGGCAAGGTGTGGGGGGGGAAAAAACACTTAGACTAAAA